AGTGACTGATATGTTGCTGTAAGTGCCGGACGAAGTGCTCCTTCCACGTATCCAAGAATATTGGGCTCAAGGGCTGGGGGATGGCGAGATTGCAGAGGCAATCAAGCTAGATGTGGGCGCCGCAGAGAAGGGGTGGGGACTGAGGTGCGCATAGCCTGCAGACCCGCGTACTCCTATGGCTGACTGTGATGCGCAGCAAACGAACTGTATCCCGCCGTCGAATGAAGTTAGAGCTGAAAAGCGTACGGCAACAAGGACACACATTGGAGTCGATTCGAATCCATATCGAGCCGATCATCCGCAAGTTCCCAAACGCAGGGGTAAAGCGGATTAGAGACTGGCTTGCGCTGAAGCAAATCTTCGTGTCTGAGTGTGTGGTCTTGAGATATCGATTTGATTGTCCTCGCTGATGATTATATAGACATCTTATTCGACAATACACAAACAAGTACCACGCAGCTGAGGTTCGTCGGAGGAAGGGAAGGAAATTGAAGAGGAAGAAACTATGGTCGCCTGGTGTCTTCGATAGCGTGGCGGTGGATCAACACGATAAGTGGCAACAATATGGACTTTACCTCCACCTTGGCGTCGAGATGTTCTCTGGGGCACTCCTCTGGATAGAGCCTTGGTGGACTAACAAGAATCCACGACTGATTCTGAGTTATTACTTGAAGAGCGCAAGACAGCATGGAGGTAAGAGTAAGCCCCCACGACCTTGAATCAATCTGACCTGACGCAGGCATACCCCTTCTCACTCAAAGTGATCCTGGGAGCGAGAACAACGGAATCGCGAATGCCCAAACTACGATGCGCCAGCGATTGGACCCGAGCTTGGAGGGCAAGCTGCAGCATTGTTGGATGCGCGGGCACGCCAACATCAAGCCCGAGATCAAGTGGATGCAGTTACGCCGAGAGTTCACTAGAGCATTCGAGGATCTTTTCGCTGTGGGGACCAACTATGGATGGTACGACAAGCACAATTGTTTGCAAAAGTACGTCCCGCAATGGTCGTTCCGCTACCAGTTGGCTGACACACGACTTACAGTTATATCTTCCGCTGGCTGGCGATACCGTTCTTGAAGGCCAACTTAGACGAATACATGCAAATGTATAACCGGAGCCTACCGAGAGCCGACAAGACGAAAGTTCTTCCTCGAGGAAGACCTGAACATATTCTGTATCACCCGGAGCGCTTTGGCAATGCAAGAAACTTCAAGGTACGTTTGCTTTTGAGTTGCCCTTGAATATTAGTCATTGGAGAGAGGCGTAGGTTTTGGTCTCAGAGGAAGACTTCCGCTACGTGGAGACTCTGTATGCCCCGCCCGATCACCCTGTCTTTGAACTGGTTCCACCTTACTTTGACATGGAGATCAAGGCGCACTTCGAAGGTGAGTATACTTAATGATGTGTCGGGAACTGGAGTCTGATGCGACTTCCAAAGTTCTCGGACGGCCAGAGGTGAACATGGATTCCTTCTGGGCGACGTATCTCCGCTTATTGGACGCCTTTATGAGGTCCGGTACGCGAGATGAGATACAGCGGTCGTTGGCGCTCCAAGTAGAACGAGAGATGTCGATTGAGAACGAGTACATGGACTTGTTAGAAGGGACTGAGCCAGAGCGACGGGCATACTGTGACGTATGGCAGGATGGAGAGGGGGTTGTTGAGGAGGATTGGAGTGGGGACTCGACGGACGATGGGTGGTCAGAGGGCGAAGAGGATCGAGGGGACTTGATGAGGGAGGTTGAAGACCTGACCACGCGGATGATTGGTTGAGCGACTGTGTGTATGAAATTCCCCTTTGACCGAACGGCACGATGACATTTTACAAAGATATCCATATCACCAGCGTTCTGGACCGTAGTTCGTCAGTTCGAGTACCTCAAACCCACCTGGCCCTGTTGGTTTGGGTCAACCCTATCCCTGAGCTGAGAAGAAGTGCCCAGTGGTCAGACGGTTTACGCGTTGCTCAGGGACTTTCCTCTATATCAACAATGATCTGTCGACATGCGCTGCCATGATGGTGACCTCTCTCATTGAGATACTTAAAATTGACCGCTTGACAACAAATAATAAGTTATCTGTGCTTTAGATGTACTCAATCCAACAATGAAATTTCGCTTTGGAGCGCTTTGGGATAACAGCACGGACAAGGGTTGGAATGTCGGAGGTTCACTGGGGAATATGACATAAGGAAAGTAAAATGGCATCGTGTCGTTCGAATTTAGGGAACGAATTGATCATCTAAATGATGAATTGATATTGTTGTTCATCAGTAATGCTAGGCCCGGCAGTTGAGCGGACCCTCAGAGCCTGACCCCAAATCGAACGGGAATGGATTGTGCTGCTGAGAGACGCGGGGACCAGAGGAGAAGGCAGTAAGACTGCTAAGCCCCGAATCGAATCGGTCGAAGGCTCAGGGTTCATGGGTATCATTGGCTGCCTTAGGTAAAACACGGCACTTTGGGTAATAGCCGGTTGAAGCGGAGCTTAAACTGACTGGGACGCTGGACAGAATTATCGAAATTATTGTGGGTCTCGTGCGGGAGCAGACATAGACCCACCAGGGTCTGGGAGCTGTCCACTCTGCCATTCCATAAGATTCAAGTGCTTGGGTGTATGCCACTGACGAGAGGAGTGGTAGTAATGATTGACAGAGAGCACAAGATGAGAAGAGCCGTGCAAGTAGACGCTGGCTGGATTGGTGGAGCGGTGTGAGGCAGGGGATAAGGCACTTACGACGCGATGATGCACTGCACCCGGCCACCGTTCCACGCCCGCGCCCCCTTTCATCACCCTCGGCATTTACCGCCGGGTGGCGCAGCACCCCTCCCCCACTGCTTCCGCACAGTCCACGTGCACAGCCGCTCATGCTTGGCCCCGCAGAGTCGTCCACGGATCAACGCTGCAACGGAGCAAGGCTCCCCTCCGCATCTTCTCCGAGGTGCATGCCCAAAGCTCTGTTTGTGGTCATCAATCAGGCACCCTCTCGAGCCGTCGACTGTCGGCACCTCTTTATCTCGAGCTGGTCTCTGCTATCATATCGGACTGAACGTGCCTGCAACCCTACTCGTAACGCCAGCGCAACGGCCAAGACAGTGTGCGTTTCTGCCGGTCGACACGCTCTACGTACTTGTTTTGTCCTTGAAAGGCGCATACACACTGTCCATGATTCTCACGAGTCAAATCTGAAACCTGTACGGCAACACACTGGCAGCTGCGCGTAGGGCTACGCGTATACCGCACCACGGACAGCACCACACTGGCGCCGGTAGAACCTCCGCCGTCGCACCGCCCTTCTGGCAACCACGTCTCCCTAAAGAGCATATAACCCTGGAAGCATGGGATATGTCGACCTCTCTCTACCAGAAAGCTCCGCCCTAGTGCACATAAACGAGCGTGCAAGCATGCCGCCCACCGCAACGATCTACGCGCTCCCAACCGAGCTGATCGGGGAGATCCTAGAGGCATGGCAGGCGCTCGACCCTTCCGCGCCGGAGAGCGCCGTGCGCGTATGTCGCCCCTGGCGCTCCATCGCCCTCAGCATGTCTACCCTCTGGCGCGTGTTGACCCTGGACTCGCACGCCTCGGCCGGCGTCAAGGTGCCGCTCTGGCACGCGCGCTCGCACGGCCGGCTCGAGCACCTGCGGCTGGTCGCCAACGCCTGCCCAAAATACTTTCCCATATTCGGTACGCTGCTCGACAGCGTGCAGCTCGCGCGGCTGAGGTCACTGGAGTGCCGACTGCCCGAGTGGCTCAGATACGACGTCCTCGGCCGCATGCCGCTCCTCCAGAACCTCCGCGTCGTCATTTCTGGCACGCCTTTGCACCTGCGGTGGGAACTGCTTGCCGGCCTCGAGAGCCTCCAAATACTCGACCTCGTCAATGCCTATCCTCAGGACGACCGGCCACTGCCGTTTCCCAACCTGCGCGTAGTGCGTCTGCAATGCCACGAAGGCGCGCATCTCCTTCGATTCCTGCTCAAAACATGCGGAGGGTTGCCGCTGGAAGAGGCCGCCTTATCCCTCCGGCAAGCGGGCGACAAGGCCATCACCCATCCGAACGAACGCGACCTCGTCAATCTCGGCAGTGCGCGGTGCGACTATCTTGCGTTGCGACATCTACGCGTAGAGGGCAAGATGGATTGGCATCTGCTCACAAGTCGACTGTATCTCCCAGAGCTATGCACCATCGTCATGGATGACTTCCCCAGTCCATCCGCTGCGGCCTGTTTCGGTGACCTGCGGCCCCTCGAGGCGCCTATCCGCTCCCTCACCATCAGCACACACGACCACCTGGCCATCGAGGAAGGCCTGTCGATCCTCATCCAGTTGGAAGGGGTGCCGACGCTCGAGCACCTGCGCATAACCGGCTACCTTTCCGACACCTTCCTCGACGGCCTCGGCGAGGCGTGTCAGCCCAACCTGGCGCATATCGACCTCTCCGGCTGCGAGGGCGTCTCCCCTGCCGCAGCGGTCCGCCTCGCTATCGCGCGTATCGAGAGCGGCCATCCGCTCCGCATCATCACGCTCGACGGCTGCCAGTGGGTCACCCCAGACGTCATCCCCGTGCTGCAAGATATCGGTCCCGCGGTCGAGTACTCGACCCGCATAGCACCGACTGTGCCGCGAGGGTGGAGGAATTGGACGTTTGTCAATAACTGAACCCCGCGTATCCCGCTTCTGTTTCCTTCATAGCATCTTGTAGTTGTAGCAACTTGCATACCTTGCACCGCGTTGTCTGAATTGGACTCTTAGCAGAAGAACTATGTACTCTGGTGGACTCGCTCCACGTAGCACTGATAATTAAATGACATTGCAACGTGCTATGGCGGTGAGGACATGAGACAGCGAGACCAATGGGGCCCAGAACGGCACCAAAGAGAACGGCACCAAAGCGAGCCAACATGCCGGATGCCCTGGCAGTGTTCAACGACGGTGAACACGCCGTGGAATCTCCGGTCAACGCACTTGCCCAAACATACGGGGCAAAAAGGCGTTTGCCCGCAGTCAGGTTTGAACTGACGACCTTCGGATTGCTCCCTGATTAAGGGCTCGAATTATGAGACCGACGAGATAAACCAACTACACCATGCGGGCAGTACATGTTTAACTCCTTCAACAGTGAGTGATGACCGAGCTATGAGACCGACGAGATAAACCAACTACACCAAGGAAGCTGCAATGATGAGAGAGCCAGGTTGAAAAAGTATGTCGTACGCATTTCAGGGTGCAGCACCGATGACGCGGCGGGACCTGTTTTCGCCGCTGACGCGGTGAGCGTGGCTCCGTGTCACTCTTGACCGCCTTCCCCTCCCCTTTTCGAACAGTTTTTCTCGCATGCGCCGCTTGTTTGCATTGACAGAATTTTAAGCAAGACTTCCGTGCTACACGTCACAAGTGAATGGCATTCAAATCCTAATGTCAGCTCATTGAAATCTCATAGCGATCACTGCCGGAATAAAGCGGAGGTAAATGTCATTCTCATAGTGGAGATGATGCAGCTTTTCGTGGGGTTATCTTCGTCCCCGGAGACCCCCGGCAAATCTATTCGGTCGCTTTGAAAACCGGTCATTATCGCGATAACCGGAGGAGCCACTGCCTCCGCCACGCACTTGTCATTCATTGCTGGGCGAGGCGCTGCTTATCGCGGCCCACACCCTGACGAACCCTGTCCATGCGTCTGACGTGAACTAGAAGACCGCAGAGGACAGCGCTCCCCACACGAAACCAGCTATCATGACGCTATTATTGGCTGTGGAGTGCTGGCGATATGCTGTCCCTGCCTTCGCCTATCGTCTGACAACGGCAATCTGGATGCTGTCGTCAATTTGCTTATCATCTCGACTTTAAAACCGCCCTTCTCGTCGTAAGCGGCCGTGCCTGTGCCTCTCGAACACCCCTACGGGCTCTAAGAAGGTCGTATTCCCGCAACGATGGCCCACCTCGAAACCAAGGAGTCGAGGGAGCAGCACAACTTGGATTTGGAAAAGCTCGCGAGCAAGCAGGTCACCAGCGTCTTCAACCCAGGCGAGTATGGCCTTGTCGAGGATCATGATATGAGCGATGATGAGGCGCGCTTGGTCGCACTGGGGTAGGCCATCCAAGCACACGACGGGATAGATGGCTGACAAAGTGATTCCAGGTACAAGCAAGAATTCAGGTATTACGAGCATTGAATACTAAGCTCTTGGTCGAATGATTAACAGTGTTCCCTAGGCGCGAATTTTCTGTATGGACGTCCTTTGGCGTGTCCTTCTCCGTGCTTGGCCTGCTGCCGTCAATCGCGACGACCCTGTGGTATGGCCTTGGATACTCGGGTACCGCAGGCATGACTTGGGGTACGGCTCACCTCGCGTGCTCGTCAACCATATTCAACGACATTGACAGGTTGGATCGTTGCGATGTGTGGTATCCAATGCGTTGCCCAGAGCATGGCTGAACTCGCGTCTTCAATGCCAAGTGAGTAGTGTCTCCAAATTTGCAAGGGCCAATATTCAACTTCGTTTTGCCAGCATCCGGCGGCTTATATTACGCGGCTGCTGTGCTTGCGCCCGATGGCTGGGGCCCGCTCTGCTCCTGGATCACCGGATGGTCGAACTGGATTGGGCAGGTCACTGGTGCACCAAGTGTCGACTTCGGTTGTGCCCAAATGATCCTTGCCGCGGCGTCGATCTTGCACCCCGACTACGTTCCCCAGACATGGCACACCTTCCTTCTAACCGTCGGTCTGCTGATTGTCCATGGCGCCATTTCGTCAATGCCAACAAAGTACATCGCCCATTTCAACAGCGTGTCCACTTGGCTGAACATGTCCATCCTTGTCATCGTGGTCATCCTGATCCCAGCAGCAACGACCAACAGGAACCCCCGATTCAACTCGAACGCCGACGTTTGGGGCACGATCACAAACGGGACCGAGTGGCCCAATGGCATCGCCGTGCTCATGAGCTTCATTAGTGTCATCTGGACCATGTCGGGGTACGATGCGCCATTCCATCTAAGCGAGGAGTGCTCGAACGCCGCCATCGCTTCGCCGCGCGCCATTGTTTTGACTGCGGAAGTTGGCGGTGTACTCGGGTTCATACTCAACCTCGTCATTTCCTACACTGTTGTCGACATCGACGCCGTTCTCACGTCGGACCTCGGCCAACCGTTTGTTGCCTATTGCTTGCAGGTCCTTGCCGTTGAGGGCGCTCTGGCTGTCACTGCGTTGACCATCGTTTGCAGCTTTATGATGTGAGCACAACCTAGTGGATCTGTAACGGTCACACTAAAGTCTTTCGCAGGGGTCAAGGATGCATGGTTGCCGCTTCCCGCGTCACCTACGCCTACGCCCGCGACGGTGTGTTCCCGTTGTCTGACCGGATCTGGAGCAAGGTGAACAAGACAACGCAGACGCCCGTCAACGCCGTTTGGATGAACACTGTCATCGGCATCCTCCTTATGCTCCTGATCTTCGCCGGTCCCCTGGCGATCGGTGCCATTTTCTCGATCGGTGCCATTGGGGCCTATGTCGCGTTTACCCTACCGGTCACGCTTCGCACCTTTGTCGTTGGAAACCGATTCCGCCCCGGTCCATGGCACCTGGGCCGCTTTAGCTATGCCAGCGGTGTCATTGCAACCTCATTCACCCTTCTCATGATGCCCATCCTGTGCTTCCCCACCGTGACCGGCCCGGATCTGAACGCTCAGAGCATGAACTACACCTGCCTTGTGTGGGGAGGCCCAATGTTCCTCGCCATGATCTGGTGGGTCGTAGACGCCCAGTATGTTGTACTTCCCTTCGCACGTGAGAATGGCTTCTAACGGTCTGTGCAGCAAATGGTTCAAGGGCCCGCGCGTCAACGTCGAGCACAAGATGCTGCAGAAGGCGAGCGACCTTGTGCCCACCGGTACGCGCGTGTCCGAAGTAGGTGACGGCAGCGACAGCAATGGGCACACCGTTGTGCCCGTGAAGGCGTAAACCACCGTACACTAGATGTTTTGGATTAGTATCGGTTTCATGTTCATTATCAACTGTACTCTCTATATCTGGGAAGTGGTGGCTGTCTACCCCAGACTCTACGGTAGGACAAGGGAATGCAAAGCTCGGTGTACAGTTTTCGAGTTGGGACTGCAGTGTACGAAAATGACGGTGAACTAAACAGGTCAAGTTCAGCTGCGAGTCTGCTGAGCTTCATCAGACATGATGAACGTAGCACTCTCCCAAGACGTACTGACACCGTGACGGAGTATGCAATCAGAGTGGCTTGGCCATCGCTGGAACGCGTTTCGGCGAAGCGTTCCGGTTGGGAGTTTCCGGAGAAGGGTCGTGGTGGCGTCATAGCAGTTGGGCGTTATAACCGAGTTGGAGTTCAGTCTACGACGAACATATATTCTCCCACTCCCCTTTTGACTACCATGTACGCCCTCCCCGCCGCCCGCGCGCTCGCCCGCCGTGCGATCCCCCGTGCTATCACGCCCATCGCGCGGCGCACATTCGTCACGCCCGAGTCGGTTAAGTACACCGCCGTCGCAACCGGTGAGCCAGCATGTCACCGACGATAACGGTCTAATAAGTCTATGTGTGTAGCTACCGGCGGTGGGAGGAATGGCAAGGCTGGCTTGAACGATGGCTCGCTCGACATTAAGATGGGGGCGCCGAAGGAGCTCGGCGGTAAGGGCGATGGGCATAATCCGGAGCAGTTGTTCGGTGCGCCTTTCATTCCGTCCCTCTGTCATGACGGCATAGGCTGATACATGGTGCCAGCTATCGGCTACGCGGCCTGCTTCCTCGGTGCCTTCCGCCTTGCAGCCTCCCGGGCACATATCAAGCTTCCTGATGAGACCACGGTTGAGTCGCACGTCAAGCTCGGCCCTCACGACCTCGGGTTCGCCATCGCGGTCGATCTTCACATCAATGTGCCCGGTAAGGAGGCAGAGAAGGACGCGGTCGAGGCCGCTGTGCTCACTGCACACAACGAGATATGCCCTTATGCGAACGCGACTAGGGGCAATGTCGACGTGCAGCTGAGCGTGACGTATGCTTAGGCGCAGGCGAGAGTGGATCATGCCGCGTTATGCCGCGCTGATACGTTGTGCGTATTGTATGAATGCTGACATAGGCGCGTGCATTGCAAACCGTACTGACTATATGCGCATAGATCTGAATGTATTACACAAAACCATCCAAATGGATTTCGATATGTTGCTACGGCATTGCGATGTGTTCCTCGTCAGAGCCGCATTACTTCGAATATGCTGCGCCTTGTGTTAGATCTTGGCTCAGAACTGTCCTACAGAAACGTACTTCACACTGGTCCTGGCCTTTCCGGTTTCATCAAACACCAAGTTGTCCGCGCACGTCGAGCCTAAATTGGCAGCACCGACCCAGCCCGGCTCCCAGTACAGGATGCCTTGCCCAAGGTCGTTGGGAAGGCTATTGAGGACAGCGACGATCCCGCCGACCCATTCCTCCTGCCCGAGAGGCGTGTTGGGGAGGTTCTCGCTCAGTGCCGTGCCGTTGCATGATGTGGCCGGGTAGTCAGTTTCGGCGACCATGATCGGTTTGGCATACAAGTTTGCCAGCGTGTGCAGGGAGTAGGTCAGGTTGGCGTAGGTTGCCGTTGTGCCGTAGAACGGGTCTTACGCATTGCTCAGCTGGCAATTCACCATGTTAAGGAGAACGTACAGAAGGAGAAACCCATCATGTCCACATCGTCGAGGGTATATGTGCCCTGCGCAAGGACGTTGCTCCACCACCACGTCTCGCCGGGTTCATCCCATCCGTTGGCAAGGTGGATCATAACCTTTCCCTGGAAGTTGGCAGCCCGAGCGCCATTCCTGGCCGCATGCAGGTACGTCGCAACGTTTGCCCATCCTTCCGGCGTGGAATTGTCACCGGTTGGCCAGAGCAAACCGGAGTTGATCTCGTTCCCCGTCTGCAGAACATCAATCGGTATGCCCGCTGCAGCGAACGCAAGCACGACATCCTTTCAAACGCGATTCAGAAACCGATCACTTTGAAAACTGGAGAAACACCGACCCGGGTGTAGTTGAAGCTGTTTCCGGCGTGTGCACCGCATGAGCGCCAAGCTGCGCAGTTTCGGACAGATCGG